GGGGGGGGGGGGGTGTCACAACCAAGAGTACCTATTTTTTCTAGTTCTAGAATTGGAGATTTAAAACTAGTTTTTTGATCTTATGATCTAAATTAACAGGTTTTTAAAATTTATACGCAGTTTAAAAATTCTCCAATCTGGAATGAAGGAGATACAATACATTGCTAGAATAATACAGGTTTCTCTTATCTTCTGACCTTAGGTACACATACAATAACAACCAAATAATGCAAATAAGGATATCTTCAGTCGTTTTCATTCAATAAATATGAAGCTAAAAATGCAAAATGTAAATAATAAATGCAAAATATATGCTCACAAAGATCACACAGATACACTAACAAGAAGTTTTTTTATTTGATTTAAGAACCAAATTAACTTCAGTTTTATATTTTAATGGGGATAATGCATCATTAAAAATGTTTCCACAAGTAGTATTTCAACAGTGGCGTAAATAGGGGGGTAATTTACCCACCCCTAGAATCCTGGGGGTAATTACCATTGAACTATTCAGGCCCTAAATGGCAGGGATTACTCCAATTACTGCCCCTACAAGTTAAAGTTTTAAAAAAGTTTTTGAGCGCAAAGCCGCAATGGCTTTTTCATGGAGGAAAGAGTTGTTACTTTGATTTTGTTTTTTAAAAAGTTGATTTTAAAATTGAATATCTTTAAAATTTGCACGAAAATGTGCAGATACTTCAGATGTTCCAGATTTTAAGTCAACATATTCTAAATGATTCTAAATTTTGAAATAATAGACGATGTCATTACAATTAGATGTTTTTTTAATAGATAAAAAAAGGGTATGGGCAATGAAGAACACATTTTTTCTTCTAAAAAATATCATTTCCATGTTAGATTTATCTAAGATCTTAACATACTACATTGACGACAAGAAAATTTTAGAAATTAGAAAATAAACAAAGACAATATTTTTCTTCTTATTTATGCCCCTGTATTTCAAATAAAAGATATAATTAGATCATAGAAAAAAAGTTTTAAAAATAAAGAGCCAATAAATGTATTTAAGCGACATGAAAATAATTGTAAAATAACAATGATTTTCGATTTTACTTTAATATTACATCTTCCTCGGACAATCTACATTCTACATTGCATTGCATTGCACTCACGTAAACTAAAAGATTAAGAAAAGAATTAGAATATATTTCACAACAATACCCTTTAAAGCTTTGTCTGATCAAGTATTGCATTAAAAATCCAGGTTTCCTATTTTAAAAACTGATATTTTTATTTGTGGTTTCTCTACAAAACTGACTCGCGCATTTCTTGCTTCAGAAACAATGGAGAAATGAAGGTTTCAAAGGTACATCGGACATGCCACTTTAAAAATGGAGGGTCACTTGAAATTACGCATGTATTCCATTTAAGTATCATTACATCATATAGAAAAAATACTTTAAAACCTCACTTTTGCCCTTCACTAAAAAAGTTTCATTAAAAAAACTTTAATCAGTACTGCTTTCAGTGTAAATATATATTTGATACCATAATTTATTATACAATATGTATCAATCCTATGAAAATAGATATTTTTTAAAAAGCGTTTCCATCTATATTTTTCATCCCTTGAAGCTTACACCACAGAATTAAAGGGGATTGCCTGGTTTTGTCCCCCCCCCCCTTTTTAGAAAATTACATAAATTTAAGTTTACATAGTTAAAAAAGGTATCAATATTTTTTTCAAAAGAAAGGGTTTTTTTTAAGGGGGGAGGGGCACAACATTTTTTATATCCCGCACTACACAAATGCTATTGTACTCTCGTACGCCCTGATTTTTTATCACTTTTAACAATTTTACTAGTACTGCCCAGTTTGTTTAAATGTAAGAACAATCCCTTTAAAGAAACTGTCTTGGAAATTTTAGGTGACCCTCTATTTCAAGAGTGGCATGTCTGATACACGACGATACTTATTCTCTAATCAGAAGTGTGACAGACACTGTCGTTTTTCTAACTTGATCAAGTGTTTAATTCTGACAATTTCTTCAATACCTTCTACAGAAGTAATGTTGAGTAATCACTTTCTAAGAGAAAAACATTAATAACTCTTTCATTCTTGACCAGACAGAGCTTTTCAGGGAACCGATGTGAATTCAACATGCCCCTCTTTTTAAAAAGGAGGATTGCTTAAAAATACGTTGATAGTAGAGAAAAAAACTTACGGTGGACTCGAGAGTGGCCGAGGAATCCCCACTTCCGGCAACAGGGGCCATCTGAAATAAATAATTTTTTTAGAAACTTTTAAAATTTAATTATTTTTTGAGGTGTACAAACATTAAAAACCAAAATGACACACCATACCGAACTCAGGCACAGGGGTGTTCATTTTACCAATGATTTTTCAAGAAAATTTACACCCCTCAACTTGGGCCAGTCCAAGGAAATTACCGGGATGTGGTCCAAACAATCGTGGGAAACTATATCTAGGACATTGTCTATAATATTATCTATGGAATAGAAAGAACTTGATACTAGGATTTTCAAATATAAGTTTTCTTTAATTGAATTACTAGGGGTTACTTCAGTTGAATTAAGTGTTACTTGTTAGCTGGCTGAACCACATAATGATTTTAACCGTTACAGCCCCTCCCCCCCCTCCCTCAAACTGTTGTACTCTTCCCCAATACTCAATATTTTCACGACAACGTTTTAACCCATGGCAACATCGCCACGTTTTGCTCACAATAGTTCACTTATTTCATCAGAAAATTCAATTGTCATAAATAACAATTTACACACAATTCTAACTCACAACTCACCTTAGTATATGTTTGAGTGTACGAATTTAATGGAAAAGTCCAAAGACGATTGTTGTGGAAGTTCTCCAAGGAACAACACTTGTTCTTTCTGCCTAGATTTTTAGGAAAAGAGGAAGAGTATTGAGGTTCTCTAATATTTATAGACCGCTAGCCGTGCCGCGCCATCAGGTATGGCGGACCGGTCCGGTTCTGTAAAAGTTTCTGCCCGGCTCCAGCGGACCAGTACAACTTCTGGAGAAAGCTGTCTGCAAAGACTACAAACAGAGATATCAAATAAGACGCAGTATTCACGTTTTACCTTAATTTCGTTAAGTGATACAATCCAGGCCCGTAGCCAGGGGGGGGTGCAAGGGTGCAGGTGCACCCCCCTTTCTTCTGAAAGAGGGGTGCAATGACGAATTTGCACCCCCCCCCCTAGTCCCATATAAAAGAAATTGTTTCTAAAATCTAGTTATAAATTATATAGCCCGAGTAAGAATTAATTTCCAAACCAAATTATAATCTATTTGTGCGTTACTCATTAAAAGTGACGGAGTTTTTGTGTACTCTCTCAACTCATCCCCTGAGTCATGTCTCTCCTGTGACCTATCGCAGGCTAAATAACAGTTGATCAGTACACTAGCTGTTGATTAAATACAGAGCATCCCATATCATATTAGATTATCTCTAATCTTTAACGACAAAATAAACCCTTAATACTCGAAGAACTTATCATTTTCCGCAAGAAAATTCTTATATAAGCCTTATGTTATTTTTCAAAATGATTTATTCGAATTAAATTTTCTTATTAGTCCCAAAAATCGCAATTTAGACCCGTTGACGGTCTAATATGATGTGGGACACCCTGTATAACACAACATCAAAATTTACTCATAGTCATTTAATAGTTGTTTAAGTCTAATTAAAACAGTATGATTTATTAATTATATGAATAGAGTCCCATGGAAATGAAATGGTAATCTCCTGGACACTTTCAGACAGTGGCGGATATAAGGGGGGTTATTGGGGTTATTTACTCTCCCCTAGAATCCTGGGGGTAAATACCCCCCCTAGAATCCTGGGGGTAAATACCCCCCCTAGAATCCTAGGGGTAATTACCCCTCCCCCCCCCTAGAATCTTGGAGGCAATTACCCCTGAACATATATTCAGGCCCTGAATAGCAGGGGTTACTCCACTTGCTGCCTCTTCAAGTTACAGTTGCCTTGACCCCTTCACTTCAAAAAAAATACATTCCCTATTGCTTAGTCTGCACTCAAGTGTAAAGACTTCTATTTTCATGATAGTAAAAGTTTTTGCGGCATTTTGCAGATACCTAAACAGTTATAAGCTTTGAAAACTGTTTAAAATTTAAACAAAAAANCGAAACAATAAATGATAAAACTTCTATGAGTTTTCTTAAAACAATTTAAAATCTTACCAATTCAGTTTTTCGTGGCGCACCTTATTTATGTATTAAATTTTAGACTAAAAAAACAGGTCTGTGCCATAAAGTAAAGGGGATACAGGGTGTCCCATGAAACATATATAATAAATGTGACAACTTTAATATTAACTTTGACCTTTGAAATATTATGCGGCATTCGATGATTCCTTCGTAAATCTAACTTTAAAGTCAAATTCTAGAATTAATTTGAAGATTTAGACATGTTTTGGTTTTATTTGATAAATGTAAATCTGAACGAAATTTTTAATATCTCCAAGTTAGTGCTGTTGGTATACAAATATTATGATAACCAATAAATTTCAATCTTTTCCATCGCATTATTTCACATCATTGAAATGTCATCAACACAGCATTTTAAATGAACAAGAATATCATATGTAAACTTCAATTATTTTTATAATTTATAATACACAGATATATATAAATATATATGTAAAAAACATATGTATAAAAAAATAGTTTAAGACTGTTGACAAATACTGTTTCATAATTGAATAAATGAAATACAGGGATAACCAGAAAATTCTGGAATAGAAAGTTGACTTTTAGACTCAAGTTCACACTCTTCACACTGCTGAAAATGGACAATGAGGTTTCAACTTTTTCTTTGGAATATGGTAATATGCAGTCCACTGAAATATAATCTCAATTTTCAGGAAATGACATCTAGGGAATTCATAGAAAATCAATTTTTAAGAAATCGTAGCAATCAATTGCATTTTCTGGTTTAAAAACAAATGTATCTTCAGTTTCAAGACTTGATTAAGCTGATTCTTATTTTTTTGTGCAGTGATATTTTTTGAACCGTTAGAGGGACTTGGCAGGTTCCCCAAATTTTGTGAATTTTCTTTAACAGTCATAATGACATGTTTTAGCAAAAAATCAAAGCCATAAGTGAACTGTATGACTGTTTCAGAACGGCATAAAAAAGAGTTTTTGAAGTGAAATCCTTAAAAATCAGAGCAAAAAGACTTTTTCAGGCCGTTTCTAGTCAGTCAAGCAGTTGACTTTGGACTTTGATTTTTACTACAATATGTCTTTTGACTGTTCAGGAAAAGTTACAAAATTTGGGTACCCTACCATAAACAGTTCAAAAAATATTGTAAAAAAATATTCCATTGTTGGCATTTTCTGAAAATTGAGATTATAACTCAAAAGAAAAGTTTAGGTGTGATGAACTTAAGTTAGGTGAACTGATAGTCAATTTATAATAGTTTTCGATTTCCAAAAGGAGGGGGGGGGGCGTGCGCCCGGCACCCCCTCCTCTTTTCTATCTGAAAATTCCAGTTCTCCTACTTTCTATCTGTAAACTTTAGTTCTCATACTTTCTATCTGCAAACTCTAGTTCTCAGCTTTCTATCTGTAGACTCCAGTCTCCTACTTTCTATCTGTAGACTCCAGATCTCCTACTTTCTATCGGAAAACTTGCACTTCTCACACTCTCTATCTGTAAACCCAGTTCTCCTACTTTCTAGCTGTGAACTCCGTTCTCCTATTTTCTATCTGTAAACTCCATTTCTTCTATTTCTATCTTTAGTTCTCGTATTTTATATCTGCAAAATTTAGTTTCATCCTAGTTCTCCTACTTTCTATCTGTAAACTTCAGTTCTTACACTTTCTATCTGTTATTTTACAGGCATATTAGTTCAAATAATAAGATAAGAAAACAATATCGACTCTATTATGATCAGGATTGTAGAACATCTTTTATAAAATTTGCTAACATGTTATTAATAAAAATAAAGCAAAAGTTATCCAAAATTTTCTTTTTTCTAATAAAGAATTCGACATACATTGATCATAGACAGAGCCCAACCTACAACAACGGAAAGATTCTGTCTCTAGTCTCCAAACCCTGAAAACAACTCTTTCATTTTGAAAGATTCCAACAAGTCAAACAAGCTCCTCTTTATAACCGGGTAAAAGAAATTCGCCCCTTCACCTTAGAAAAGTGCTAGTTGCGCCCTTATGAGGAAGAAAGAATTGGCTTGAATTTAAGGAGACAAAATCCAATATTCAGGTCGCTTTTTCTATGATTTTAGGTCGTCATTAATGGCTCAACCCTTGAAGGTAACCCTGTTCTAAATATTGAAATATCAACCTGCAGACTGGTTTAAATAACAAAATCATCATTAATTTTCCTGTATAACGAATAACATCCAAATTAAGCTAAAACGACTAGTTTAAGAAACAAAATATTTCAGTTAAAAAAAATACCCCCCCACCGTGAGATCAAATTTACCCTCTGTTCCCCTTGCAAAAACTTTCAGTTACAGCCTTGCAAGAAATAGTGAAACAATTGGCGTCTTCACTATTTCATTCTAAAGAAAACTTGTAAAGAATTTTTCTCGTTACTGTCAAGTTATTAAGTAGCAAATATAAATTAACCATTTACCCTGAACATTTTAGTTTGTGTTAAATTAAATTATAACACGTTAGGTTGAATGTTTTCCACTTTTCAATCATAATTACATTTCCTGAAAAGCTAAATTTCGAGGAGGAGTAAAGTTTTTAACATTATCATACAACCAACATCTTTTCTTTTGTTTTTTTTCGTTCATGGTTCATTTCGAACACAATGTTAGTGCTTGAAATTTGACATTGTTTTGAATTTGAGTAAATTTCTCCGAATCATGATATGTACCCAACGCAACATGAGCTGAAATACATATAACTGTTTGAAAATGAAATCAAGAGTATTCAAAAATTGATTCTCACACCTTCTTATCGGTTCAAAGTTATATAGCATATATAGCAGGTCCCAAGTACGTTGTAGTATTTGTTTTTCTCGACTTGAATTGAAGGCCGATATATACGCACATGTCTTAACATAACTTTGTAGATTGGGCCCATTTCTAATACTTCGAAATGGGCCAAATCGTGGTTTGGCTAATATTCCCTAAAATTATACGTTTTTATAAATAAATGCAACATTTTTTTTCAGGAAAAAACTACAACATCTTTAATCTCATATAATAATAGTATATTTTTTTCAATAAAAAAAAAGATTTAACATATATTGTCGAAAAATAAATACATGCATTTAAAAAAAAAACTAAAAAAACTACAGATTACTGGATTTCAATGATTTTGCATTCTATGATTATTTTATAAGATATTTTACAATTTTATAAAAATAAGATATATTATTCAGGGTTACTCACAAATAATAAGACTTCAAAGACGATTGTACGGAATTTGTCTGTTTCCTTACATTCAGGGTTCCTAGTAGGCCCAAACTGGCTTATTTCCTTGTATTTAGGGTTCCTAGTAGGCCCAAACTGCTAATTTCTGTGCTTATTTATTAAATTAACAATTAAAATACTCATTGAAGGCAGAAACCAAAAATCCAGCTTCAAATGGACATATTTTTATAGTTTTGGGTCGTCTTCATAGTTTCATCCTTTGTGGGTAACCCTGTCTAATAATAAAATTACAAGTTATTTTATAAATTTTACAATGCTTATTAGATAGAAAAAATTAAAGCAGTAAACTTTGTTGAAAATGATTGATAATAATTAATATTCTGTTTATTTATTGTGTTGATTTCAATGAAAAAAAAAACTTAAAAAGAGAGATAAACAAAAATCAAACAAACAAATAGTTCCTAATAGCAGAAAATTTTTTGTTATTACTCTCATCTATTTATGGGGGAAGGGGGGGGGGATGTGTACTGTATACGTTCTTATCAAAAAATAAATATTTCGGTTTAAAGATGAAAGAATATAAAATACTAAAATGCATAATATTATTTCATTCAAGTTTGTTGTCTCATCTTTAAAAAATATTTTTACAGTACAGCTAGATATAAATGCATTTACATTTTTTTTCTACAAAAACAAGCATGATTATGAATACTTATGATTCAAGTTTAGAATTTAACGTTTGCTTGAAATAATATTAAATGAAAAGTTCCTCTTTTTCAGTCCATAGGGACCTGGCTGTACCAGTATGTTCTAACACTGGATCTCTTTTAACGTCATTATTTGGTGGAACTCTTTATAAATCTAAAAGTGTACTTTTGGGCATGGAGGACCTCTTTCCACACTTGAAAAGTACACTTTATGTCATATTAGACCTTTTTCACCACGAAATAATACACTTTATGGTAAACTGGACCTACTCATACACCTTATAGTATATGGTAAACTGGACCTACTCATACACCTTATTGTATATGGTAAACTGGACCTACTCATACACCTTATAGTATATGGTAAACTGGACCTACTCATACACCTTATAGTGTATGGTAAACTGGACCTACTCATACACCTTATAGTATATGGTAAATTGGACCTCTTTGCACACTAAACAGTACACTTTACTGGCCCTTTCTTTACAATTTATTTTGCCATTGAGTAATGGACCTCTTCTCACACAATAAAGGACTATGTAATTAAAACCTCTTTCCAAGCATAAAGTCACACTTCAGGCCAAGTGGACCTCTTTCTAAACCTTGAAGCATACTTTTATGCAAAGAATGGTTCTATTTCGTCAGTTAAATAAAAAATAAACGAGAAATCAAATAATGGTTTATCGGATCTTATCCCTTTAACTTTTTTCGCAAAAAACTCCCTTAAATGTTTACTTTATGGCGAATGTAACTTATTTCTATAAACCAAATACAAATGTTGAAACTTAAATCTAATAAAAACTATATCGACAAAGATACAAGTACATGAAGACGACGACTAGTTGGATTTTATAAGATAATACGATGCCAAATTTACAATTTAATGCCATTGATTTGTAAATGATTAACTTATGTGCATAAATTCGACTAATGAAATAAATAGAGAAATAATTAAAACAAATAAATAAATATTACAATCCTGATATACTAATAAATGCCATTGATTATAATACTCAAATTAAGAAGAAAATCTGAATTTATAATAAGATATTTTAAAAATATGAAACTATTATCAGCTCTCAAAGTGTCAGCCAAAAAAAAAATATAATTTCTTTGACATAACAGCCGGCCGCAAGTTAGGAAGCTTAAGGCTGTCAGCCATAAAATATACTTTCTTTGACATGACAGCTGCAAGCTACTGGAAGTTTAAAGCTGTCAGCCATAAAATATACTTTCTTTGACATGACAGCTGCAAGCTACTGGAAGTTTAAAGCTGTCAACGTGGAGACCAAGAGCTCTAGTATAAGCCAACAACCTGAACAAATATTTTTTATTTATAATCTGATAAAAAATATGGAGAATACTGTCGTTTTTAAAAAAGTGTTTATTCTGCTTATTCTCCATTGCTTCTTATAAGCAAGAAATGCGCAAGTCACTTTTGTAGAGAAACCGCAAATGAAAATAATCAGTTTAAATAAACCAAAACATTTATATGTAATTCAGACTTGTAAATCGGCCATTGCCATCTTTCCATCATTAAGGGTTACTTGAAATTACGGTTACAGTCCCTTTAGGAAAATGCTTTAGTTGGTAATAAAATAATATTACAAAGTTCGAAATAAAATTTAAAAATTATAGTTGTTTATAAAGTGAAAATGTTCGACGAATAATTTAAAGAAATTATTAAATATATTATTAAATATGGTCGGACATCTTAAAAAAACATTAATTTATTACTGCGCAATTTCTCGAATTTCACCGAGAAACGAGATTTTCCCTAAACACTTGTTTATTTTTTATTGCCTAAAACACATTTTAATTCTAATTGTTGTTAACATAAACTAAAACAGGTTTCTACCTTACCAACTGTTATATTGAAATTGTTCCATTCTCACGAAATTCAAGAAGAAAATTATAATTTAGAGAAGGTTAGCATGTCAATCCAGATTTATCTACAATGAACAAACCTTAAATCTAAAAGTTTACGGGTACAAGAATGTTCTAGATAATTTAAATATTGAAAATTATTTAAATAGATTGAGATCAAGTTTAAACCCTGTTAAAAGAATATTAGAGGGAAAAGGTTGGCTATCACTTCATTATTAAAAAGTCTTTGTAAATTTGTGTTTGTTACTATCTATAGTACCCAGCGTTGCCCAGGATTAAAAAATATAGTTTTTTTTAGTTTATACAGTTAAATGTTCAGCAAAGGAGTTGAATTTTTGCTACAAACTCCAATTTTCTAATCACTTTATCTTTGCAACCGGGTGCTGTAAATCTTTTTTATTTCAAACTTCGAATATTTGATCTGTCAGAATTCTTAGTTTGAAATGTCAAGAACGGGTCGCAGAGATACAGGGATAAAAAAATCAGAGTTTGTGGCAAAAACTCAACTCCTTTGGTCAAACCCTTTGGCTGCAGCCATAACAAACAAAACTAGTTATATATATATATGAGCGAATTCACCTTCATTCTAAAGATATATTTCCGATATATTCAGATACTTAATACTTTACATTTACATTTTCACTTTTTCAGGTTTTATTCTTTCTTATCGATGAGGGCCTCAGGGCGTAAACAGGAAAATCCCATTTTTTATATCTTTCTAGGAGGTATATATGCCCCTAATCTACATTTATTTACACTGTACCGTGTACGGTGTAACTCTACAGTTTACCTGACAAAGCTGTACTTTTGAATACATGCTGAGTGTACAGCAGGATGTATATATGAACAGGGAAGAGTAGGGTACAGACACTGCTCCAGCCTCTGGGTCTGGCTGTACCGAGAGAATTGATATCCAAATCCCTGTACAGTGTACAGTTACATAGAATATAGTGTCCCGAACTGATATATTGTAAATGGAAAAATGGACGAATAAGAAAAAGGATTAAAGTAAATATGTATTTATGTACCTATAGGCTAGAGGATATAGAAAAAATAAAATCAAAAAATGCATATCGCTCAGGAAAGATATAAATGTTAGATAAATATTTAAAAAATTTATTTAGATGTATTTATCAATGGACTAAATTATAAAGAATTACATAGAATAAAATGAAAGAATATGAGAAGACATAGTTAGAAAGTAGAATAAACAACTGTTAAACAATTCAATTGAAGATTAAAATAAAATCATAAATAGAGAAATATCAAATACATGGATAAATGAAAACAAACGTAAAGAAAAAAAATGTTTAAATAAATTTAAATATGTTTTTTTTTTTTAAATTCAAGTTAAATGAATGTCTAAATTAATAAATGAATGAAAAGTTAGAGAAAAAGAGTAATAGTTAATGAGTTAATGATTAAATAAGAAGATAAAAACTATACATAAAAAAATGTAAGGTTGAATACTTAAAAAAAATAATTCTATAATTAGAATAATAGAAAAATACAGGTTGATCCACAGAGAATAAAATTTTAGTGATTAACTAATGAAATATAAAGATATGATTATAATAAAAGAAATAAGTTAATATACAGGATAGCATTAATTTTAAGGCAAGTATCTTTGAAATTTCATTCTTCCCAGATCACCCTGTAGATAAATACCTTAGCTAAGTACTCTTCAGGAAGGTTGATAATCACCTGGAAAACAGTTTTGAAATTTCCAGATTTAACAAAAACATACAGTTTGTACTTTATCAGGAATTAATTTTTCTAACATTATAAACAATATCTGTAACCTTTTATATTGGTTTTAATCTATTTTTGCAATAGTTTGACTTTTAATTCTATCAATTTAGGGCGAATAAATTACAATTCAATTTTATTTTGATTTAATATTATTTTTATAATTGACATCGTTTGTATACCTTCCATTCTCCATAGGTATTTTGAGCTCGTTTTGGTCTACCGTAGAATATATCAGAGGGGCAAATATACCCTCCACTCTGGTAGTAGTCAGGAGAGTAGTGGTAATCACTAGAAATAAGAGAAAAGTAGTGATAGTCCCTAAAAAGTATCAGAAATATCAAGAAAATACTGACGGTCATTAGAAATATCAGGAGAATAGACGTTGCAGGCCCACCAGAAATATTAGAAATATCGGGGAAAGAGTGGCCGTCAATAGAAATATCAGGAGAATAGACGTTGTAGGCAGACCAGAAATGGTCGTCATTAGAAGTATCAGGAGAATAGTGGCGCCACTAGAAATACCAGAAATATCGGGAAAATAATGACCGTTCTAAGAAATATCAGGAAAATAGTGACGTAACTTGAAATATCAGTTATATCAATGAAATCGTTGTGATACTAATTTTATTAGGATCGGGTAATAATTAAGCCTCTGAAGAGAAAAAGTGTAAAGTTTTTTTAAACACGCTTTATGACCTTTACCTTTTACCTTCTACATATACTATGAAGGCAAATTTACATTTCATTGGCTTTGCTTAACCATGACCTTTACATGCACATTGACCTCTGACATGAACATATATTATGTCTATTACAATGACCTTGCCACGTCAAACTGTAAAATTTACTGAAGATTAAATTCTTATATTTTTTAATTTAACTCCTCTTAATGAAAAGCCATTGAGAAAAAACAAAAATGTTATAAATTTATAATACGTAACAGAATAAATCATTTACTTGGGTCTAAATCAGAACTAGAAGAGCAACGGAGTCACCAAGTCGTAACAGTAATGTCAATTTAATTTGACCTTGTTCTCCAGGTTAGTACGCAGTGATGCATGGTATAATGTAAACAATAACCCTTGATATAAACTTATTTCCTTGGTCTTAACTTCTTAAGCGAATTATGATCATAGCCTTTCTTTGCAAAAACTAAACTTTGAAATTAACTTGACCTGAGGTGAACTAATCATGACCTTAAATAAACTGACTTTTAAATAAGTATAAGCATGACCTACCGTATATCCTGTTCCTTAAAGTCTCCATAATAATGATTGTATGTGTATCCTTCTTCTTCAACCTTGAATAGATAAAATAAAATAATAAAATAGAATAACAAGAAACTTTTAATATTATAGTAATGTAAAATTTATTTATTCACACCTCCACAAAAATTCACATAATAAACTTGTATTTTGTAGTTACTTTAATTCTTTCAAAAATTTCCGTGTGAAAGGGAAGTGTCGCAGTTTTTTGAAGATTACATCATGGGTTACAACTTAGAAAATCGTTACTCCCTTTAAAGAAAGTTCTTTTTGTACCTTTGTTAGTCCATCAACTGAACAAGAAATAATAATTATTAAATACTTGAAAAAAGCATTCTTAATATTTAAAAAAAAAAATGGGATAAGAGTGTTCCAATAAACATGACAAATGAGAAAAGAATATCGCATTGTATCAAAAAAAAGGTTCCATGACTTAAGAGCTTTGTTCACGTTTTTGATACAGGTTCGTCATTAGAATCAATGATCAAAGACGATTTTTTGCGTCGTCTCTGATTTATAATGTTTGGTGAGACAATCGATACTTTCAAATTGTTGACGCTTCAGAAACGACTCTACGGAATCTGTACTGCCTGTTTCTTTATGTTTTTGATTCCTTACAAACAATGGACTTATTTTCTTTTGTCAAATTATCAAATAAGCCATTGAAAGACTAAACTATGGAAGAGGACTTATTTCAAACTTTGTATCGTCATTTATCCAGAGTTTCAGTCGTATTTAAAGCTAAAGAATCAAAATATTTTAAGATGGTATTATTAATCTTCCTAGATTATCAGCTGACTGGTAGGCTACGTCTGATAGTACACGGTCCAGCAGGGGAAGGTTGCGGGTCAACTCATACTTGATCGTGTCACTACAATTATTATATAGGGAAACTTAAAGGGACTGTTGGCGTAATTTCAATTGACCCTTTTGATCATATAAAAGAGAGATACACAACAGCACCCTTTAAATCTTTGTCTGAGCAAACCTAATGGGCCGGGCTAATTCTAAAAAATCAATTATTTTTAATTGTGGTTCTTCTATAAAAAATTGTCTACTGGATTTGTGCAACACAGACAAGAATAAGTTAACAGAATATTTCTCTTTCCAAGTTAGAAAAAGGAAAATATCTTCCTAATTCAGGGTTTAATTTCACCGGTTTGAATCAAGTGTGTAACTTGAAGGAATACTTGAAATTATATTAGGTACTTTACCAAAGGCATTTTCCAAAGCGCCAACTTCCCAAATGTGCAAATTCCCAAGCGGCAGCTTCCAAAGTCTATCCTAGACGCAGCGCTCCACCCTCCCCCCAGCCTGTTCTAGCCGCAACGCTCTATCCCTGGCTCATTCTAGTCGCAGCGCTCCCCCTCCCCCCAGCCTGTTCTAGCCGCAACGCTCTATCCCTAGCCCATTTTAGTCGCAGCGCTCGGTCCCCATTGCAGACTTCAGCGTCTCAGAAGGCCTAACCTAACCTTTGGGAAGTTGCGCTTGGGAAATTGCACGTTTGAGAAGTTGCCACTTTAGAAATTGTCACTGAAGAAGTCGCCCTTGGGATAATGCCTTTGGGAAAATACCTAATACCCTTCAAATTATATTGATAGTCAGTGTATTTATAGTAAACTCATATTTGTGTGGGACCTGGAATGGTTAAAATTATAAACTCATCTTTTTGAAAAAATATTTTCAATAATGGAAAATCTGCGTTGTAAAATAATATCTTACTTTGAAAAAAACTATCAAACTGTAAAATCCGAACAAAAAGTACTTAGTTTAAATTACATTTTTTTTACTTTAGTTTCTTAGAAAAGTGTTTTCTGTATTGTTTTAGATTTAAATTTAAACTCCACTTTGAAATTCGATTAAAACTCTTCTTCTTATCATCCAGAAATTACCCAAATATCATTCAAATATCATTCAAATATCATCCAGAAATCATCCAGAAATCATCCAGAAATCATCCAGAAATTACTCAGAAATCATCCAGTCGACATCGATTTTTACAACCCCCCAACTTTGTGAAAAGTCGAGTTTTAACCCAGATCTTGGCACGACTATTGCTGGTGAAAACTCCACTTTTAAACTCGATTAAAACTCCACTTCTGGAAGGCAAAAGTCGAATTTCTGTAATACTTTTGAAAATTCGGCTGTATTTATCATCTTTATAAATTAACAAAAGGCACAAACGTTTTTGTTTCTATTTTCTCGAATATTAATAATTAACAAAGAAATTGTAGATGAAGGCAGTTTAACAGATGTTATTAAGATTAGTTCTTTAAATACATGAAAATTACTTATCACTCAATCATTTTAAGAAGTTTTTATCTTTGTTTTGCGAGGACTCGGGACTTAAAAGGAAATAATTATTTTTAAAGTAAATATTTGCACGTCAAATAATATTTAATGTTCAAACAAAATTACGGTGTAATATTTATATTAATTTTACGTGCATTCTTTAGAAAGTTTTACTTACATGGGATAGTAGTCGTCTTCTGCTCAAAATAACCAATCAATTAATTAAAAAAATAAAAAATTTCTAACGTTACATATTTTCCTAATGGCGCACGCGATTCAATAAGATTGAAATTTTTTTCGTTGATAATCTCAGAGAATGTTGATGCCGAAAGTACACTTGTTAGAGTACAACATTGATACCTAATTCATCAAATGAACACATTTAAAAAGATTTAATTTAATACGAATAGATTTAATTAGATCAATCATAAAAAAATAGTTTTTAAAAAAAATCTCCTAATTTAATCTTTAATCATTTTGAGTTTTAATTTAATTATATTTGTTAAATTTCTGTTTTATATAATATAATATTATATAATAAGTATATATTACGTAATGTTTAGCCATTTCTAACTCTTGTCTTAAGATGACTTACTCACACTCTTTGAAACTTTACGGACGATATTGCAGTAAAGACCATTTTAAGATTTTTCTTTAAAACACACAAAATCTTGTAAATAGAGCTGATAAAAAAGCATTCATGAAAGTGTACAATTGTAGTAAAAAATATAAGAGAATCTGCGAACATTTGAGAACGATTAAAATATGGCGGCCTCAGATCAGTAAAAAGCTAAAATTGTTGATAGGAGAGAGGGCGCAAAAGCTTAATAAGATAAAGACAGACGAACAATAATTTAGAAACCCAATAAAAACTTCGTTTTGTAAAATAATCTAGGTTTTTTTTAAATTCATCCGTGTAACAAGAAAAAGACGACCTCGTTTATTTTGACGTCTCGTATTTTGTAATTAATTGATTGATTATAAGGTGCCTAAACAGAAAGTATTGTTTATTTTGTACTGATGGCTGTACGCACACTCAGGTACACTAGTGTACATAATTCTTCAGTTTTATATTAATCAGGCTTATACAATGTACAATGTACAGCTTCACTGTACAGGTTGAAATATTGAACATTGAACTATTTGCCGGATTTATAAAAAAATCTCCACTAACAATTTAAACATTCATAATAACTAATTCTAAAACAATTTTTTGGTTCACAGGCAGGGGACAAAATATAATCTGACAGGCGCGAAAAAAATTATGCAATGAAGAATTTCCTGTAATGATCATCATGGTGTTTTTCATGTACTGGTAGATGATCATGACGAGTTGTTTGATGATCATGAAGAGAATGGGAGAGAGGTCCAAGATGATTGTCAAGATGTTGATGATAATCAATCAGGTGTGGCTGGGGAGAAAAGGGGGAGTGACTAGGGGAGGGGTGGTATACAGGAGGAGGGGTGTATGTAGAAGGAGCAGGGGTGTAGGAGGGAGGTGAAGGGTGGTAAGTAGGGGGAGCAGGAGGACTGTATGCAGGGGGTGCAGGTGGATTGTAAGCAGGGGGTGGAAGGGGAGTGTATGGAGAGGGTGGTGGAGGGCTATAAACAGGAGGGGGTGAGGGAGGAGGATCATAAACTGAATTATGAATTATAGGATCAATATGAATGGTTGGCGTATGTACACTGTTGTACTCCAGCCCATGATTACCATCATGTACATAGGTCTGTACATGAGCTTGAAGATGAGGTTCAGAATGAAGGATAAGAGGAGCTCCTGTCTCTAAAAACAACGTCTTGGATCCAGCCTAAGCATATAAAGAAACTAAATAAATTCTAATTACAGTGAAACCTAAAAAACTAAAGTTATGATTTTTAATATGCCAACGAATATGAAACACGCAATTTTGCGTAAACAATTTCACTTGATAAGTTAAACTACTGAGTCCGAATTTAATGAATTTGAACTTCTCAATTCCGTCAAAAACCGATTTTAATTGAGCGCTTGCTTAAATCTTGAAACATTGAGTACAATTTAAAATGGAACAACCATATTTGAGCCGCGTCTCAATTTAAGCCACGCCTCAAATTCTTTAAACTCGGCCTCTGGTAAAACTGTTGATGGTGTTTAGAAGGAAGCTAGTAGGGTTGTAACTTGTATTAGTGGTAAACTTCAATACAAACACAACAATTTGAAATTTTTACTTTTCATTCACAAAATAACGGAATTGATTCTTTGTCACAATTTCAAATATTCTAATCCATTTATCTTTCTGACCTAATGGAGTAGTTCTTTTATATTTCAAGCTCAGATTATTTGATTTAACAAATCAGAGTTTTTGGCAGCAACTCAGTTTCTTTGCATGTATTAATGGATTTTGAACTCAATATTTCGTATATTTGTTTGTGATGAATATGTTTGCAATTACTTATCATTATAATTTTTAAACAGGGAAAACTGGTGAAACTTGCTTGTAACGGTTCAAACTGCTGAAATTCATTGTTATTTTGAAAAATTAAAGAGAAATTAAAGAGATAACTGGTCTGCTGAATAAATAATGGGCCCTAGACAGTGGACACTTATACCATGGGGTGACAAAAGATAAAGAAAACCCTGATTTATGAACTCTGCGTGTGAATTATTGCAGAATTTGATTTGGCACGGTTAATGCAGGAACTATATGACACGCACTGATTAATAATGAATTGTTTTTAACCCCAGTCCCCAGAGGGATAGATTGCAATGGATAGCTCTGGGTAGCTATGGTTAGGTTGGCTGTGGTTAGCTATAATTAGCTATGGGTAGCGATGCTTAGCTATGGTTAGATATTTGTATCTACGAATAACTATGGGTAGCTATGGGTAGCTATATGGTTAGCTATGTTTTAGCTATCATGCTTCAGGATGGTCGCAAAAAAAAATCTTTTTACGTTTTAGGCCTCCAGCAAAAAGCTATTTAACAAAATCGGTTAAAAATTGTTGAAATTAATAATGCATTGACAAAGGAAAAAAATTAAACATTTCATGATACATTCAGATGAAAAATCTTGAGCCGGGTAAAGCGCTATTTTCTTCATATCCCAGCTGCCAGAAATTCCATAGAACTTGCAGCATCACAAAAGTAATTTCTGCTTTAGGTCCTCCGCTTCATTGAAAATGTTGACAAGAATTCTTTATATTTTTATTCATATATTCTTAAAAATTACTTAACGAAAGCTGTGGGATGAATTGGTTAGCTATGGGTAGCTATCATTAGCTATTTTAAGCCATAGTTTTTGCTTTGATAAGCTATGGTTTGCTATGTTCAGCTATGGATAGCTATGTTCATCTATGGTTAGCTATGTTCAGCTATAGTTAGATATGTTCTGCTATCGTTAGCTATGTTCGGCTATGGTTAGCTTTGGTTACCTGTGGTAAGCTGTGGAAAGCCATTTTTAGCTATGATAAGCTATGGGTAGCTAAGATTGGCGGTAGGTTAGCTATGGTTGGCAATGGGTTGGATATGATTAGCTATGATTAGGTATGGTTAGCTATCTATCTAAGTTCCGACAAATGTAATAGTTTTAAAGTTCCGTATTCTTATTTTTGTATTACATATTATTATGTGTTAAGTTAATGATTTTATGTTTGTATGTCTAGAGATATGATAATCTGAGTTTTAAACAGAGCACAATAGAAAAATTACAGTATTGCGGTTTTGAAGTATATTATTCTTTTTAATCGAGAACAGGAGCATTCTTAGAGGAAGAAGATTTATCTCTTCCCACCCTTTTCTTTCACTTATCCCCTTCATTCTCAACTTTTTCCCCTTTTCCTTTCCTTTCTCCCCCTTATAATGATTTCTTTCCTTATTCCACCTCTTCCTTATTCCTCGCCATCTCGATTTCTCCTCTTCGCATACTGATACACTATTGCTCTAGGTTCTTATATTCTCTACTCAACTTTCGTCCTTATTTTTATCTCCTCCACCCGTCTTACTACCAACTTTGAAATGTCCGCACTTCTAACACCCCCGGGGCCCACCCCAGTCATTCTTTACCAATTGTCTCTATCTAGCTGTCATATGTTTTTCTTGAATTATAAGTAATCAAAGATCTATCAGAGGTTCATGTGAGAACATTAAACTAAGTATTTAAACATGAGAACATTTACAAAAATGTTTTTTAATCTTGATAAAGATTTGTCGTCATCATTCCTCTAGGCTTTATAATTGTTGAAGGATAGCTCTAGGTAGATCTAACCTTGGAGCTTAAATGTTTTATTGGTCCTTCCTCATATATCTGGGGTTAAAATGGGAGCTATGTGAGTAGCAGATGGTGGGATTAATCAGCTAAACTAGGGAGGAGGAGATGAAATTAAGTATACTGATAAATCGTTAGGTTTGGGTTGTACAGTGTACACTGTCCAGTATTTGCGCCGGACGAGAATAAATCAAAGTTTAAATACATTTAAGTGTGCGGGAGCAAAGCGATAGGGATGGGTTGTGAATATAAGGATTTATATATGAAAATAGGGATTGATATATAAAGATAGAGATGGATATATGAAGATAGAGATGGATATATAAATAGGGATGGATATATGAATATAGGGATTGATATATAAAGATAAAGATGGATGTATGAAGAAAGAGATGGATATATGAATATAGGGATGGATATATGAATATAGGGATTGATATATAATGATAGAGATGGATATATGAAGATAGAGATGGATATATAAATAGAGATGGATATATGAATATAGGGATTGATATATAAAGATAGAGATGGATAAATGAATATAGGGATTGATATATGAATATAGGGTTTGATATATGAATATAGGGATTAATATATGAGGATAGGGATGGATATATGAAGATAGGGATGAATATATGAATATAGGGATTAATATATGAATATAGGGATTGATATATGAATATAGGGATTGATATATAGGATAGGGATTGATATATGAAGATAGAGATGGATATATGAAGATAGGGATTGATATATGAAGATAGAGATGGATATATGAAGATAGGGATTGATATATAAATAGGGATGGATATATGAAGGTAGGGATGGATATATAAATATAGGGATGGATATATGAGGATAGGAATGAATATATGAGGATAGGGATGAATATATGAGGGTTGGGATGAATATACAAGTATTGGGATGGATTTACGATAATAGGGATGGATATATGAAGATATGGATGGATATATGAAGATGATGATGGATATAGGAGGATAGGGATGGATATATGAAGATAGGGATGGATATATGAGGATAGGTATGGATATATGAAGACAGAGATAGATATATGAGGATCGGGTTAAGGATAAGAAGGTTTTTGATGAAACAATATAAAATACACGATTCAGGAAATTAGATACGGAATAAAATCAAGAATAAAAGATACAGTTCAGGATAAATTCAGTATAAAAGATACAGGATAAAGTTCAGAATGAAAGATGCAGGATAAAACGCACAGGGTAAAATTTAGGATAAAAGATACAGGATAAAATTTAGGATAAAAGATACAGGATAAAATTTAGGATAAAGGATGTGGCCACCGGATACAAATACAAGATACAGAATACAAGATAGAGAGTTAGTAAAAAAACAGGATATAAAGTATGCACGGAAATAGAATTCAGGATACAGAATGAAGGATACCAAATATATGATAGTGGATACCGGATCTATATGATACCGGATCTATATGATACCGGATCTATATGATACCGGATCTATATGATACCGGATCTATATGATACCGGATGCAAGAAGCTCACAATCACTGCAAACCAATGAGTGCATGTTCTAACACAAGAATCCAGCAGTTTTTAGCCAATTAATTTTCTCAACCTAAAGCTATAAACATGCTCGTTGCATTTTTAGAATGAATATGTCTGAAGGTAAAAAATAGTATGAGTTAACTTGGTGAGGTAAAGGGGACTTTAAAGACGATGTTCTAAATATTTGATGACTAAGTTCTTAGGTTTGTATATATTTTAGAGCAATATGGTGGGGTGGGGTGGAGAGTGTGTGACACCAGTTCTCGTTAGATCACTGAAGTTAAGCACACTTGTCCACAGCCAGTTACTGGATTGGTGTCCAGACTGGTGTTCACGGGTTCGATTCCTGTACTCCACACAAACCTGTGGATTCAAAAACATCTGAAGCCGACATCTGGTTTAGCAGTTATGACCACCTGACGGATGTAGGAGGACAGAGGGGCGGCTGTCAACAACTCTCGCAGCGAAAGGGTGCGTGCTTTCTGCTCAACAAGAAAGAAGCTTCAAGTGGGATTGATCCAAGTGAATGACGATGAAGAGAGGAATGGAAGACAAGCAGGGAGAGTCTATGGTTGCCAGCTATAGGTACCTGGGGGTATCCAATCCGGGCTTACAGATGTTAGGGAGCAATGAGTGGGATGTTTCCTATCAGTACGGCACCCGGGCCTCATTCCAGTATATCAGAAGGATTCCTGCACTCTATATTCTCAGGCCTAAGAAGAATCTTAGGCAGCTGGAATCTTGTCAACCCTCTTCTCAGAATGAATGAAGCGTGGATGGATGAATGTGCTGCCAGATTACAACCCCTGGTAGATCAATATAAAAACCCAGACAACACCAAACTTTCGCAATAGAAAAAATTCCGAGATTTGATCGTAACAACCCGATCATGTCCTGGGGACAAAAAAAATCTCTATTTTTAAAATGTCTGCTAAGAACATGATGGTTTAAGTGTTCCTTTTCATTACAACCAATGTCCTAGGAACAGTTTATCAAAGTCTCTAAAAAGGACTGAAATGACGGGCAGTTTTGAAGCCAGGTGCAGTATATTGACAGCTTAAAATAAGATGACTCTAATCTCCTAACAGGAAGTAAAAGATTTTAGAAGATCAAGACTTAAAAACAGTTTTTTTAACAAGGATAAAAATATGAAAACAAAGAGTTTTCGATTCAATTTTTATCAGCTAAGGAAAGATGTGTACAACAAAATGAAACGGATAACAATTTTCTTTAAAATAACATATGAATTCAAATAATAATAATGTTACAGATTTAAAGATTAAGATCTAAAACTTTGATTGACTGATGAACTGATTGACTATTTTATTGATTGTGTGATTGACTGATTGATTGATCAAGTACCTGGAAGGGTTGTAGGGTATGCCCGGAGCCATCTCCTCGGGATCCTGGTAAAATATTTAAAAGTAGGATTTACTATTTATTTCGATAACTTATTGGACATTGTCATATTGCTTTCTTTTATTTCTACTCTTTCTGTGAATAATTGTTTTCAAATTCTCTTTAAAATTTTAAATGTAAGAAATTATGTAGCTCCTCACCTATATTTATATGCTGTTCTATGGTTAATGATTCTCTTTTCTCTAAATAATTATTTTAGATTAAAGATTGAAATGAATAAAAAAAATTTTAAAATTGTTCTGTTTCAAAATTGTTTCAGTGTTAAAATTTGAGATTTTACATCTTAAAAGTGTGTTCACTGTGTGTTCCTATATTTGAAAGGATTACAAGGGTTCAAAGTTATGCATTGACTTGAAATGACTCATATAAAAGTACTTTTTTACAAGCTCCCCCCTCACAATGCCCAACCAGGTCCCACCCCACCTGAATTTTTCTTGTTCTATTTTTCACAATGTAATTTTTTTAACTTTTTAATCATAAGAAGCTAGGCTTTCAAGACACTTTGCGCCCATATTCTTTTCCAATTGTCAAAATTTTCTCTTTGTATACATTGTTAAACAAAAACAAAACAAAAAGTTTGCGGATTTTCCAATAAAAATTTCGTGGAATTTCAAAATTTACAAAAATTGAATTTTGTTAGAGCCAAATTTTTGAAAATTCGATCATCCATAAACATTCCCTGGGGTCACGTGAGGTCCCACAAAATTTTGGGCCCAATCAGTTTAGCTGTTTTGACGTTTATTGGATACAAACAAGCTAACAGACAAGCAAATTATATATATTATAGATAGCTACGGAATATTTTCGAACCTTCATAAAACAAAACTATTCCTGAGGCCATGTCAATTGCTAATTACCCAACCCTGCCTTATTAAAGACTATTCTTTTTACTCATTTAAAAAGAAGACAACCATAGAGAATAGAATATATAGAGAGGAATTTACTAGAAAAAAGTGTCCATTTTGTTGTACTGTTTCCATACTGCAGGTGTACTTCACATATTTATGCTATATAACCTGTTGGGCCCTGGAATATCATTTTATAGAAAATCTAAAATTATTGTTAAAAGAAAACCAAATTATGAAATAGGCTGGTTTCATAATTGACCAATGATCATTTCACATAGACTCTATGCCTTCCACTTTACAAACGATGATTTTTCGTTATAACTATAAATCAAATGATGTTTTTATTCACCTAATTCATTATAAAGTTTATTTAACAGCTTTAAAAATTTAGAAATTGAAATGAATAGTCTAGGGAACATACTGTATTAATGTACTCTACTGCATATAATTTTTGAACATTTACATGATTTGTACACTTTGAACTCCCTTTAAGGCTGAAAGGGACTGAAAAAATTCATACCGAGAGATTCTTTTAATTCCTCTCTATATATTCTATTCTCTATGAATACAACACAATTACAATGTATAAAAGAATACATCACAATTACAATGTATAAAAGGTAAATCTATACCTTTGCAAAGAATCTGTCCACTGGTGAGCAATACCTAGAAAGAATATTTTTATGTATTCATTTTAAATAAATAAAAAATCTCGGAAAAGCTGATGTTTAAAAACGACAGATTATATATAAATTCTCAATTATAAATCCAAATCTCTTAGTCGCAACTTTAAAGGTCATTAATTACGCCCACTAAATGAAATTTTGGAATTAATTTACTTGTTTTTAAATATCACGCAAACCTACGAAAAAATTGTCCCCACCAATTTCAAGATTCGAACAAAAATTCTTGCCTCAATGACTTTTTTTTCTGAATTATTTAAATGACAGCCTTAGCTTTAGGATAATGATCAAAACACATTTTTACCAAGAGATCAATTTTTCTCCAACCGCAACATATGTATAGTATCTAAATATTATTCAATTTATAAACAATTGAAGCAAGTCAAATATCTTATTTGTGTGAGAAAATATTCTTTTTGAACACTTTACAACACATTTTTTTCTGGACATTGGACACAGGACATTGGACACTGGACATTGGACACTGGACATTGGACACTGGACATTGGACACTGGACACTGGACATTGGACACTGGACATTGGACACTGGACATTGGACACTGGACATTGGACACTGAACATTGGACACTGGACACTAGATATTGGAATGAATTCTGTTAATCATATAATCTAAGTTTGAAATTTCAAAGGCTTCCCATCATAATTCCAAAGATACAGGGATTAGACAATTTTGAATTTGTGGCAAAGACTAAATTTCTATTTCTATTCTGGTTAAAAGAAGAGAGATAAAATGAACCCAAGACACCCGACACTTGATAAAAAATATCTTGTATTACAAAACAATATCTATAGATCAATATTGATATAAGATTACAATCTAAAAGTGAATTATGTTACCAAGCATTTAGTGTGGTCACTCAAGCATTATTAAATAAAAACAATTAGCCACATATAGTTCTCAGAGTAGTATAATAGGAGAATAATAATCATTTAAATTCTTTCAAATTTTTAACATCTGTGAATACAAGAGAAAGATTAATTGTACGCAAAACAGGAAGAAAAAAGCGTAAACCCTTTAATAGCTCGGAGGCATGTAGAAACCATAAATTAATTACCGTGAGTGATACTCAGAAAACAAATATTTGATGAATATTTTACTCAAGCGGAGAAAAAAAAACATGATAATTAAAAGTGATGAAAATTAAAATTGAAAAAATATCTTTCATTATTTATGTAACTTGGAGAAACTTTTTTATATTGTACGTCTAGATATAGTTTTTATATTGTACGTCTAGATATAGTTTTTATATTGTATGTCTAGGTATAGTTTTTATATTTGTACGTCTAGATATAGTTTTCAAATTGTACGTCTAGATATAGTTTTTATATTGTACGTCTAGATATAGTTTTTATATTTGTACGTCTAGATATAGTTTTCAAATTGTACGTCTAGATATAGTTTTTATATTGTACGTCTAGATGTAGGTTTTATATTGTACGTCTATTGTAGTCTAGATATAGTTTTTATATTGTAGTCTAGATATAGTTTTTATATTGTACGTCTAGATATAGTTTTTATATTGTCTTTCTAGGGATAGTTTTTGTTTTTATTCTATGGTCAATTCATGTCATGCAGACGATAACATTTTTTTGTCTAATAGGTTTCTTAAGTAAAAGGGGGATGAGAAGTAAAACAACGGGCTAAGCGTCAGAAAATGTTTAAATAAAAATTTATCGCTAACCAATATTTTGGCCAAGAAATACCGATTGAAATGTTTGTTTACATTTAACTGTGACGTTTTAGGGCAGAAAAGACAACAGTTCAATTAAACAAACTGCCTAATTCCCAGGCCTGGCCCCCTTTTTTGGTACGCACTTGCAGGTCATTTTTGTAATATTGGAAATCAAATACAATTTAAAGTTCATTTCTTATTTGAAATGAGATACCCAGTATCAGCTCGACTCTACAAAACACCAATGTAAGCCAGTAAGAGGTAAACAAGCATGATTTATTATAACATGCATTGATTGAAATTGATTCGCATTACATCGCTCCGATAAACATGATACTTGGCTGGATGGATCAAGTGATTTACTGAAGGATGAGAATATCATAATCCTTGTACAGTGTACACACCTCTGTTTTTAGAATAGTACGGAAATATGTACATTGTACATTGATGAGAAAGGGTGTAAAGGGATTACATTTTAATGGCAGACCCACTTCTCTTGTCCACATCTCTAACATTTGTCTCCTATCCTATACCCACCTTTTTCTGCTTTTCCTAACCTTTTCATAACCATAGGCGCACCTGAGTTTTTTTTTAGAGAAAATTTAGAATAAAATCTTGGAATTTCAAATTTTGAAAACTATGATAGGAGCATTAAAAACTATGAGAGTATTTTTATATCTTCTTTTTTCTATTTCTCTATTTTTTACCCCTCTTTTCTTCTATTTTTTTATTTCTCTATAATCTCTCTAAAAGATATATTTTGTAAAAAGTCCTTTATTTTCTAAATACTGTAAAGGTAACTAAACATTAGGATGTCCCGGGGGGATTGTAAAAATATTCAGATTTTTTTTCTTTCTTCAGAAAGTGATGATGTTAAAACCTGCATTGGATTGCTATGATCAAGGATCTAAAGGGTAAAATATTTTCACAATTTTAATTGTTTTTATTATTTTACGAATTTTTAGACGAATTTTTTGCTGCAGGAATAATTGAATTTTCATTGGAATAAATATTTACAACATACATAAACACTATTTTTTAAATCTATATATAATAAATATGCTTTAGGCATTGAAAAGAAAATAGTTTTCAATGTTCAGCAAATTTTCCATCAGAATTCGAGATAAATTGAAGGTTTTTTTGTAAATATTTAGAATAGGGGCTAAAAAATCGTGGCAAACGTGCATTTATATTTTCTTTATGCTTTTCTTGTGCTTCCATTTCATCTCCGCTTAAACCTAAAAAATAAATGTGCATTAAAAATTGTAAATTTTTTGACGATTTTGAGCAAAAACATAAAAATTCTTAAGGGCTAATTAATAATATTTAGAAGTACATATAAAACTATTATACTGGTTTACCGGGAGGGTTGGGTAGAGATGGGGATTGTTTTTATCAGTGGGCGTGGTCTGGGGCGGGGCAGATGGTCCAGCAGAGGCGGAGGAGGATTGCTGAGCCGTGGCGTGTTGTGCCGGATAAAACTGAGGATAGTGGCCGAGGTTGTAGGTAGTGGGCGGGGTAGATGAAGTGGGCGGATTCACCTGATCAAAATATCAACATTTTAAGAAAAAAAGGTATTTATTACCAAATAATAAATTTTTATCTTTGAAGTATTTTTTAAGAAGTAACATTATTTAAGTTTGGTCCGTCATGTTGCTTTGAATATTTAAAATCAACCCCACCGCAAAAAAAATAAGAATACCTGACGATCGTTCGATATGAGAGGCTGGACTTCCTGATCCCTCTGCTCATCATCCTAAATTTAATCAAGGAAAATTTTAACTTTATAATTTTGTAAAATGTCATAAACCTTCGAAAGTTCTAGCCATAAAATCTGCTAGATAAAATAATGTAAGTTTGAAATATCAAAGGTGTACACCATCAGGTTACAAAGATATAGGGATTTGAAAAATTGAGCTTGTTGCAAAGACTAAATTTCTTTTATCAAGAAAAAATTTAAGTTTATAACAGAGTAAAATTACAAAAAAATTATTCTGTGGAAAATTCAAAAATTAAAGAAAAGTTGAGCTATTAAAGCTTTAAAGTTTGGAACATATTTTCACATCGTTTTTAAGAAATGATAATTTTCACCAGTTGTGAAGACTGACAGAGTTAAAGATATTTATTTTTATATGGGATTTTCAGTTCAATTGAAAACCTTTCATGGAGTGAATTTATCTTTTCTAAGATTGTAAAGTAAAATTCTAAAACTTGATAAAAGTCTTCAACTATTGAAGAAAGAGAGAACTGTGATGATTGATCAAAAATTCTCTCAACAAAAAAAACATTACAATAATAATTCTTCGAAATTCTTCTCGGAAATATTCTTAAATATTTTCTTGATTTAAGTTTATTACAGATACTATCACTTCTTAGCAGGAACTGATTCCTCTAATTTTTTATCCTAAATCTTTACAACCATTTGTTGTCGAATTCTGTGAGTTATATTTTGAAATATCTATATGGTCTATTATTTTAGACTGCAAAAATTTACAAAAGAGGTGTTTGTTCTACAGAAAAATATAAAACAGACACAATTTGACATCTTATATTTAAACATTTTTTTTGTAAAGCCAGAGCTTGAGGTAAATTGTTAAAACTAGGTTGTTCATGAGGTTTCTGATTTAAACCTACCAAGGTTTGGACTGGTTTGCCCAGACTCCAGTATGCGGTTAGAACTAGGAGCCAGGAGAGAAGAGAGAGAAGAACCAGAGTGCATGGGGCAGAGAAGGAGAGAAGAGCAGGGATCAACAAACCCTGATCATACAACAATATAAACAAAAATAGATAAAAGATAAACTAATATGATAAAATTAGCTGCACTGGGAGTTATTACAGTACGTATACTGTTGTTAACCCTAAACAATGAGTTTACTCCGTTGCAAGGTCGTCCCGGTAAAATTATTGACTTCTTTGCTACCTTTGATTTTTAAATATCGCCATTTTGAAATTTGAAGCAGAATTATTTCTAAAACTGTGCTCAGAGCTGGGACTTTTTGTGTTGGACACTCCCGATCCCGATCCCGATCGCTTGATGTTGATATCCACTGTGGGCAATTTGAGGATCTATTAAAAACATTTACATTTCCATATATTTATGTTAGATATTCCTCCCTTATATAAAGTTCCCTTCAACCCATGACTGGGTACTTAGTTTACCATGCGGGATATCGAATAAAGATTAACAAAATCGAGATCAATCATTGATCTTGGATATCCGCAATACAAAAATCTCATCTTTGAACATTTTACGACATTTCTTGGGTCAAAGAAAGAATGAATATATATAATCCCAGCACAAGATTATAGTGTAGGTCAGATAGAGTGTGGACAATATAAAAACAATTCAAGAAAGTATGAAAGATAAAAAGTTAAAATTAAGAAAGTAAAAGAAAATGTTGAAACCAGAAATGAGAGATGTAAGAACCAGAAAACTCTGGAAGAGGAAGTTGACTGTTAGACTCAAGTTATGTCTTAAGATACCCCTATGCACATTGAGCACAGCAATTGTGCAGGGTAAACAGACCCATTTCACTTAATAAGTGGCTTAATAACTTTCTAGCAGGGTTATTTGTTTTAAAACAACATCAAATGCGCTCCCTTATTGCTTTAGTCTTCTTCCTATTCTACAGTTTTCTTTTTATCACTGTAAAAAAGCAAAAAAATATAAAGCTAAGATTTCAAGCGAGAAAGTAAAAAAGTAAAGAAATAGAAAATTCAGAAAGTTAGAAAAGTGAAGAATAAGCAAGTAAGAAAGGAAAAAAGTAAGAAAGGAAATTCTATCCGGAAATAATATACAATGTTTATAATAAATGGTTCAATTATTATAGATATGTATATGGATATGTCTGGATTTATTGTGAATTGTGGTATGGGACAAAATAATTATCCTGGTGTAAACATATTCAATTATATCCCTGTAGAATTAAGAAAATGCACAATGCTCTAAATAAGGATTACAAGAAGATGAGAAGAATAAATATAAAGTAGTGCCAATTATTTTAAGGGATGCTTGGGGGGCTTTCAGGGCCCTAAGTAGGACAAATTACATACTACAACTCTTAAAATAGTTCTGTAAACTTTTCTAATAATATTTTATGAAAAATATCCCTGTAAACAAAAATTTTGTTTGCCGGATATAATAAAAATTTCTGACTGTTTGTAAAAATACATAATTTTTCTCAAATGACAAAATAATTTACACTTTAAGTGTAGAGAGATATAGACAATGGACAAAGATGAATATCTTATAAGAACATTAATTTGGTTTAAGGTTTTAAATATTATTTACCACCCTGTCATCAGACCATGGATAATATAAATGCTTCATTGCACTCATCCTTCCTATACATATTCATACATCGTTTAATTTATACTTATTTCCCCTCAATTTATACTTAATTTTCCTCAATATACTTACGTTCCCTTCTTAATTTATACTTATTTTCCCTTAATTTATAATTATTTTCCATCAATTTTTACTTATTTTCCTTCAATTTATACTTATTACCCTCAATTTATACTTATTTTCCCTTAATCTATACTATTTATACTTATTTTCCCTGAATTTATACTTATTTTCCCTGAATTTATGCTTATTTTCCTTCAATTTATACTTAATTTCTTTCAATTTATACTTATTTTCCCTCAATTTATACTTATTTTCCTTCAATTTATACTTATTATCCCTCAATTTTTACTTATTTTCCCTCAATCTATACTTATTTTCCCTCAATTTATACTCATTTTCCCTCAATTTATACTTATTTTCCCTAAATTTATACTTATTTTCCCTCAATTTATACTTATTATCCCTCAATCTATACTTATTTTCCCTCAATTTATACTTATTATCCCTCAATTTATACTTATTTTCCCTCAATTTATACTTATTTTCCCTCAATTTAAACTTATTTTCCCTCAATTTATACTTATTATCCCTCAATTTATACTTATTTTCCCTCAATTTATACTTATTATCCCTCAATTTATACTTATTTCCCCTCAATTTATACTTATTTTCCTTCAATTTATACTTATTTTCCCTCAATTTATACTTATTATCCCTGAATTTAAAACAATTTATACTTATTTTCCCTCAATTTATACTTATTTTCCTTCAATTTATACTTATTTTCCCTGAATTTATTCTTATTTTCCCTGAATTTATACTTATTTTCCCTGAATTTATACTTATTTTCCCTCAATTTATACTTATTTTCCTTCAATTTATACTTATTTTCCCGCAATTTATACTTATTTTCCTTCAATTTAAACTTATTTTTTTCAACTTATACTTCTTTTTCTTCAATTTATACTTATTATAGAAGTTTACTTGAATATATATGATGCCAAGTATACATGTGTACCTGGAAATACAGGTAGCTTCGAGTATATAAGTGTGCCTGGATACATAGGTAGAAGCCGAGTACAGTGGTGTACTTGGATATCTAGGTAGATGCCGAGTATAGAAGAGGGCCTTATTATACAAGTTAGATGCCAAGTATATATATGTACCTGGATATACAGGTAGATTCCGATTATAGAGGTGTACCTGAATAGACAGGTAGATGCCAAGTATAGATAAGAAGTGTACCTGGATAAACAGGTAGATGCTGAGCATAAAGGTGTACCTGAATATACAGGTAGATGCCAAGTATAGATAATAAGTGTACCTGGATATACAGGTAGATGCTGAGCATAAAGGTGTACCTGAATATACAGGTAGATGCTGAGCATAAAGGTGTACATATACAGGTAGATGCTGAGCATAAAGGTGTACCTGAATATACAGGTAGATGCCAAGTATAGATAATAAGTGTACCTGGATAAACAGGTAGATGCTGAGCATAAAAGTTTACCTGGATGTACAGGTAGATGCCGAGTAAAGAGAAGAAGATGACCGCAGGGCAACCAAGGATTAGGATCTCAAGCATTGAGAAGATCAACCAGGGTAGAGCCAGACATCTTAAAGTATACATGTTCAAAATAAACATTTTTAACTCATGTTTTTTGTCATTTGAAAAGCAAACATTATTGATATTCATAGAATAATAAACATTTATTGGAGCAGGTTGCTATGAGAAGGATTGATACCTGATTCTACAACAGGTTGCTATGAGAAGGAGTAGATTGATACCTGATTCTACAGCAAGTTGCTATGAGAAGGAGTAGATTGATACCTGATTCTACAGCAAGTTGCTATGAGAAGGAGTAGATTGATACCTGATTCTACAGCATGTTGCTATGAGAAGGAGTATAGATTGATACCTGATTCTACAACAGGTTGCTATGAGAAGGAGTAGATTGATACCTGATTCTACAGCAGGTTGCTATGAGAAGGATTGATACCTGATTCTACAGCAGGTTGCTATGAGAAGGAGTAGATTGATAAAGAGGTTTGTTCCAGCAACACACACTGTAACTAAGGCTCCAATCCCAGCCTAGATATATCTTGTATTCTTCTAAATAATCAATCTTTAAAATTACAAAATCTTGAAGTATGTAAAAAGCACTACTCCTATTGTTTATTTGCTTGATTAATATTAAAATGGAATATAATAATTTTGAAAATCGTTGAACCCTACAGATATATGAGTTCTACACAATATGTATATATCATTGAACCTAAAGATAAATGAGTTATTCTAGAACAAAATATATCAAGAATCTATAAATCTCAAGGATGGGATGTACTGTCTGTAATCTGCATGTTACCTTTTCACTGATATCATTTAGGAAGTCCCTGAGCTGTACAAGAGTATTCTGGGTTAACTCTTTCTTCTCATACTCTTCCTCCAGCAAGCGCTAAATATACAGTCTAGTTAAAAAATACATAAAATGGTTATAATTTATCTTATTCAAGATTCAGGGTCTATTCGCATCATTTCTTAGAAATAAATCTTAATAATATCAACAACTAAATGTATTAACATAATATTTTGACTTGGCTAAAAATGTAAGAAAATTAAAATACATTTTTAGTTATTATTAACTCACATGCAGTTCCTTGAGAAACGGGAGTAACTCTGAGTAATCCCAATCATTGATGAATACGACAGCAGGAGGCACAATAACTAAACCAATACTAACTCTTATATCTCAGGTTAAACTTAAAGTTCAGACTCTTGAGACACAGTCAAATTATTAAGTCATGAGTCAAAGAAAATGGTTGTTGGACGACTGAAATTAAATCGTAAAAGAGGGAGAGGACTTAGCACGTTTTACTACGGAGTTAAACACAAATGACGAGGCTTAAGAGACGACTGTGCGGAATTTATACGGTCTGTTTACTTGTATTTCATGATTTCCTGCAACCAGTGGTGTAAGAGAGGAGGGGGGCCGGGCACCCCGGCCCTCCTTTCGCCCAAGGGGGGGGGGAAGTGTCTAATGAGTCCACTGAAGAAAATTACATAAATAATTTATTTACACTTGTAATATGGAAGTGTGTATGTGATCGAATTGTTTACATAGTTAAAAAAGGCATCAAGATTTTCAAAAAAGGGGTTTTCAAGGTAAAATGTAGGAAAGGGGGGGCACAACATTTTTATTTTGCGCTAATGTGCTTACACAAATGCTCTCGTAAGCCCCTGCCCGCAATTTTTTTTCTTTTCCCAATCATTTAATAAGCCATTAAACGACTATATTTAAAGCAAAAAACTGATTTTAAGCTTGGGATCGTCTAATTTAAAAGTTTTAGGTCGTCTTTACAGTCTCATCTTTTGTGGGTAATCCTGTATAAACTAATAAGTATGGATCTCTAATCTTGACAATATTTTAAAGAAAACATGAACAAATATTGAAAATCTAATGGATTACTAGACTTTATTAATTATTGGGAAATATGAGATTAATTGTGAGTTAAATATTTTCCTGCAGCTGAGTATAGAATACCCATTACTGCCATAAACCTAGTTGTTCCAACTACACCACAGCAACCCATCTTACTGATCAGCTGATCTACACTGTACGGTACTGCTTGGTGTACTGGTTCGTCACTCTGTCTTGGCTATGTACACTGTACACTGCACAGATAAAATATTTGATATCTATATGATTTCAATTCTGAAAGATAGAATTTGTCCAAATCTAAAAAAGGTAATGAACATACGTTTTGCCTTTTTTATCAGATTTTGGAGCCTTGGAGGGGTTTCCTTTGCAAAATCTTCAAATTTTTTATTACTATTATGAGTAAAATAGTGTTTCAGACAAATAAATTTTCCTTTTTATCTTAATAAAATCAGAAATATTGGTTTCCCTTTGTTGGGATAAGATTCAATTTAAATTTTATTCTCAGTCCCGTTTTTAGATTTAGATGTTTGAAAACTAGAAAGATAATAAATAAACATGGACCTGGTAATGTATAATATACATATGTTAAATTTGTATTATTTACTATTGTAATATTATTAATGATTTACCTAGTTTTGATTATTATTTGATTTGTGTAGTGTTGATTATAGTTACATTTCACCCAAACTACATTCTCAAGGCTTCTGTCCTCCCCTTCTCTTTGCTCGCTCTAGAGGCTGTTTTCTGAGCAACGGAGGCCACCCCCCCCTTTCTATCCTCTTTTCTGTTGAGTCTGCGGCAGCATAGCATCATCGCGCACTCACACAAACACACACTTTACCAAGCAGACAAACTCAGAAAAAGATCAGATCAAAAATATGAATTTAACCGAATCAATGGAAAAAGCACTGTATTTCCACCGACACAAACTGGACTCATAGTTATCTCTGATTTAAAAGGCAGTTAATTTCTGATTTAATTCTATCAGTGGCGTAACTATGCATGGGGGGGGGCGGACCGAGTTTCGCCCCCCCTTCCTTTAGCCTATTTTGCCCCCCCTCTCGTGAAGTTCACGATATATTGTATCCCTTCTGTATCCATCCTTACCGTTGAACCCATCCTTACTCCTGAATCCATCCTTACTCCTGAATCCATACTTACTCCTGAATCCATCCTTACTCCTGCATCCATCCTTACTTCTGTATCCGTCCTTACTCCTCTATCACTCCTTACCTCTGTATCCATTCTTCCCAACTAACAATTTTGCGGAAATTCCCAGGAATCTTTCACAAGAAAATCCGGTGAAAAAGTCGACAGCTATTCCGAGGAATTTCTTTTAACCCATTCCGAAGAAATTCTCATAAATCTATCCAAGGAATTTCTTGTTACCAATTCTGCAAAAAAACCGGAGAAAATGTCGACAAAATTTGTGGAAATTCATGGGAATTTCCAGAGAAAAATTCTTAAGAACATATTCCTGGGAATTTCCTGGGAACTATTCCCAAGATTTTCTCAAAAGTTCCTTGAAACATTCTCAGCATATTTCTGAGTAACTTCACTTACCAGGACTTAGACCCAATAGTAGTGAATAACTTAACAACTATATTGCCCCTCCAACTTTATAGAAGTATAACCAGCTTCTCAAGTCAGAATGTTCTAGTCTTGTTTGATCTTACTGAAGTTATCATGTATTTTGTTTCTTCAGATAACTGAATTGTCAAGAAAAAAAAAAGAAAAAAATTTTACAATTTTTTCATATTATTTTTTTAAAAAGATGGTTCTAAAGTAAATAATCATAAAAAGCAGTGCATAAAAGAAGAGAAAAACTGAACTTGAAAATTCTGTGATGAAGTCTTGAAAATTTCTCAGGAATTTCCGGAGAAATATTCCTAAGAAATTCTTAGGAATTTTTTGAGAAAAATTCAAGAGAAATTCTCAGGAATTTCTCGAAACTAATTCTCTTAATCAGTTCCTTTAAAAATGCGTAAGCTTGGGGACCAAGTCCTAAGAATTTCTTAGGAATTTCCGGAGCCGGAGAAGTACTACAGAGAAATTCTCAGGAATTTCTTGGGGTGAAATTCCGGAGAAATTCCCAGGAATTTCTCAACACTAATTCTCTTTTTAATTCCCCATAAAAATCTGTACACTTGGTGACCAATTCCTAAGAATTTCTCAGGAATTTTTTTGGGGTAAAATTTTGGAGAAATTCCCAGGAAACTTCTTCTTATACTTAATTCCCCTAAAAACCCTTAGCTTGGTGACCAAGTCGTAATAATTTCTAAGGACTTTCCGGAGAAGTTGTCCGGAAAAATTCTCAGAAAATTCTTTGGGGTAAAATTCCGGAGAAATTCCAAGGAATTTCTCGAAACTAATTCTCTAATCTAATTCCTCTAAAAATCTGTAAACTTGGTGACCAAGTACTAAAAATTTCTCAGGAATTTCCGGAGAAGTATATAAAAGAAATTCTCAGGAATTTCTTGGGGTAAAATTCTGGAGAAATTCCCAGGAATTTCTCAAAACTAATTCTCTTATTAAATTTCCCTATAAATCCATAAACATAGTGACCAAGTTCTAAGAATTTCTCAGGAATTTTCGGAGAAAATCTGGGGAATTTCTTTGGGAAAAATTCCGGATAATTTCTCAGGAATTTCTCGAAACTGTGATCCCCCTATAATCTCTCATATTGGGGACCAATTCTGGGGAATTTCTTGAGAATTTCAGAGGAATCTGTTACAGGAAATGATTCTCGAGAAATTCCTCGGAAATTCATCAAAGAAAGTCACAATGATTAGAGAATTTGGAGAAATTCCTCACTTTTGTTACTTGGGTTACTCCTAAATTCATCCTTACTCCTGAATTCATCCTTACTCCTGAATCCATGCTTACTCCTGTATCCGTCCTTACTCTTTTATCCATCCTTACTCCTGTATCCATCCTTACTCCTGAATCCATCCTTACTCCTGAATCCATCCTGACCCCTGTATCCATCCTTACCCCTGAATCCATCTTTACTCCTGTATCCATCCTTACTTCTGTATACATTCTTGCTTATGCAGTATCAATTCTTACTTCTGTATCAATCCTTTCTTCTGTATCCATCCTTACATCTGTATCCATCCTTACTTCTGTATACATACTTGCTTATGCAGTATCAATTCTTACTTCTGTATCAATCCTTTCTTCTGTATCCATCCTTACATCTGTATCCTTCCTTACTCATGTATCCATCCTTACTCCTGAATCCGTCCTTACTCCTGAATCCATCCTTACTCCTGTATCCATCCTTAGATCTGTATCAATCCTTACATCTGTATTCATCCTTATCCCTGTCTTTATACTTTCTTCTGTATCCATCCTTACATCTGTATCCTTCCTTACTCAGTATCCATCCTTACTCCTGAATCCATACTTACTCCTGAATCCATCCTTACTCCTGTATCCATCCTTAGATCTGCATCAATCCTTACTTCAGTATTCATGCTTATTCCTGTATCCATCCTTACTACTGAATCCATCCTTACTCCTGAATCCATCCTTACTCCTGTGTACATCCTTACTCCCGAATCAATCCTTTCTTCTGTATACATTCTTTCTCCTGTATCCATCCTTAGATCTGTATCAATCCTTACTTCTGTATCCATCCTTATTCCTGTATCCATTCTTACTCCTTAATCTTTCCTTACTCCTGTATCATTCCTTACTCATATATCCATCCTTACTCCATTCGAACTCCTAAATCCACCTTTACTCCTGTATCCATCCTTATTCCTGTACCTATCCTTCTTGAACCAATCCTTACTCCTCTATCCATCCTTATTTCTGTATCTATCCTTACTCTTGAAACAATCCTTACTCCTGTATCCATCCTTACTCCTAAATTCTATAGTCCTGTATCCATACTTCCCATCTCTTTTTTTTTACTCATAGAAGAAAAATGTATTATCTCTATTTTGAAAAAAAAACAAATGTTAAAGATATTTAACTGGATAATGCGTGCTGCAATTAAATTTTAAGAGGTTTAAACATCATAAAAAATGTGGGTTAATCTGTCATATTTACACACGTGTACGTTTTTGTGCACAAATAATTACACAAATATTGTATTATACATTTATAAGTAATATATAATATAATTAGATCCAAGAATGTCCATGTTGCATTTGAATAAACCTAGATAAAACCTGGACATTCTTGGCTTATGGTTAGTTTCCCATGGCACTGTAGCTTTGTTTTCTACTCCAACAAAAGTATAAAACCTAAAAAATCTTGCAACTAATTAGACAATTTATGTCTTCATATTGCAGAGGCGCTATTTACAGCAAATAACCTAATGTTTTAACATATCTTTTAACATTAAAATTTCAGTTTATTTTAAGGACGCTTATAAGAAAAAATTGCGACTCTAAAAGACGACATTTACATAGATATCTTACATAGACTTAATTTATTTCAATTAGCAATTATTCAATATTATTATATCTTCATGACAAAAAAATATGGATTAAATACAAATCAATGGATTGTAATTTTTTGTGTTTTCATGTTTCATATATTTATAGTTTTTTTTCTACGGAAGATGTGGGATTGTCTGAGCTTGGGATGTTTGTCCGTGGATTTTACTAGCTTGCTCTTCTGCTTTGGGGGATATTTATTATTATTATTATTATTATTATTATTATTTTTATTATTATTATTATTAGTATTAATATCATTATTATTAATATTATTCTTATTATCA